TCTTGGTAACGCTAAAATACGCACTTTATTACAACTACTCCTCAATAACTATAGCACTGTCCCGCCTGAAACTTATTTTCCAAATACTATACATATATGAGATGGTTTTAGACGTATTTCATCGAATATGAGACAGTTAGATATTTAACAGTAAACCCTTGAAAATCAAGTTTTTGTCGATTTTTGACGTGGAATTTCTGGAAGCCCATGTTAACCTTATGAGAAATGAAATTATTGAATCTTAACAGCTGTTTCAATTAAACAAGTTGGTTCTGTTCTGTGATGTTCAATAGCATTAAAGTTACAAGGATTACCAACAGGGTGCAGCACTAGCACTATTATTTCTTTTACATTTATGACAACAGCTAATTTGCAACCTGGAGGCGAGTGAGCGTAGCGAACGAGCTAACCTGAAGGCAAGTGAGCGTAGCGAACGAGCTAACCTGAAGGAAACTGAGCGCAGCGAACGAGCTCCAACATACAGGTGAGTGAGCGTAGCGAACGAACTTCAACCAGGACGTGATTGAGCCATGCAAACGAGATCAGATAGTAAAAATAAAAGTAAGCCTACCGTTATAGGATCGACCGGCAGACACAGAGGTAATTTAACCTTTTATTGATTGTCATACCGATCCGGAACAACAAAAAACAACATAAAATGAAGCTATGTATAATAGTTTGGCCAGCATATCTTAAAATATGCAAACCAACTGCTGTTCTTTATATAAGAAGGTTTCAACTGAATATTATAAGATCCCCGTGCGTAGAACGGGTACACAGCTAGTACCTACCTAAATCTAATCGTCTTAAATAGTTTCCACACTCCAGACTGCTCACCTTTACTACTTCCTTTACCACTTCCTACGTCACGGACCTCAAGCTAGTGTCGTCATTTGATTATATTTATGATCCATACCACCGTTTATGTTCTAACCTGAAGGAAAGTGAGCGCAGCGAACGAGCTCCAACCTAAAGGTGAGTGAGCGTAGCGAACGAACTTCAAAAAGAACCGAAATTTCTTAAACCATGTCCTCACTCATAACTGCTATAAGCATTTGATACTTATATGCCAACCCCGTACGAAGGACGGGTACTCTGCTAGTTTGATTATATTTATGATCCATACCACCGTTTATGTTCTAATATCTTTGGAATAATGCCATCAGCTATTTATTTATCTACTGCATTCAAAAGTCATCAGCTGGTCATAGGTCTTTGTTTATGTGTCAAATACTGCTTCCATAAGGATTACATTGAAACTTTGAGACCCAGTGGGGCGGATTCCCGAGAGACTTTTTTAACGCCATATAGATGTTGGCACTCACCGGTATGGTCTTTATCACCATGTAAAATTTGAAAACGATTGATTCACCCGTCTAGGAGGAGTTTGCGTATTACGAAATGCATAAAAGTCGACGTATAAGAGCTTCGCTCGCTTCGCTCGCTCCGCTCAATAATAACATTCAAATCAATCACAATGTTATCCTTATGGAAGGAACTTTGAGGGCAGCCCATGCCCTTAAAAAGATATATTTCGAAAATCTAAAGCCAGTTTGCACATCTACACACCTAGATGAACATTTTGGCATATAATATGTGTGGTTAAATCTCAAAACAAAAAAGCCTTATTGTTCACAAAGTTTCATGTAGCGTATTAAATATATAGATACTACACAAAGTTGTTAGTTTATACATATTGCAAGAAATTGGTCTGTTTTTTACTACTGTTGGAATTTTTATTTTATGAAAGAATAACTTAGAAACTGATGAAAAATTGATAACATGTGTCAAAAAATTTCATAAAAATCTGTAAACTATCTTTCTAATCTTTTATCATTAATAACATTTTTCTTGGATCTAAATTGTGTATACCTTATCCTGGCTTCTAGGGGGGCCCAGCTATGCTAATCGAGATTAGCCACAACAGTAGGTAAACATATTTTAACACTTTATTGTATACTGTGTAAGAAAGGGGATTAACCCCGTACCCACGGTGCTCATCTATGCAGACACTCTATTCACATTACACTTAGTCGACCAGTTGGCGTGAACAGAGTTGAACAGTAGCATGAGCATCGATTTACAAATTCCTTTCCCAGCTGATGTGAGCTAGGCGATGACCGGTAGGGCTGACTTCCAAGAAACATCGTTAACCTATAAGCCACACACCCTATCGGTAATCAGCCAATGAGAAGGGCTAATGAAGAAGAAGGAGGGGTCAAGGAGTCTCGGAGCTGGAGGACCTGGAGAGGACAATCGAGGAGATCACCACGGGCCACGGGACCAAGAAGATCAGGAGTTTGGGAGTGCGTGTATTAGTCCAGTCAAGGAATGAGGTGTAGAGTGCGTGAGCAGGTAACTAAGCGATTCCTACAGAAACTTGTTCAGGGGGCTTAGGGTGTTAACATAACAAAAGTCCTGACTCCTAGGTGGTGAGCCAGGGGGTGGAGGGGGGGAAAAGGGGGGGGAAAGGTACGCATTTTGGGTTTTTTGATTATATCTCGAAAACTATCAACTTTTTGTATACTATAGTAAAATATAAAATTGAAGAAGATTAAATTTTCTACAAGAAAAGTATATAATGTGTTTATTTTGGTTCAACAGATTACGAGTTATAACTTATTTAATTGATATCTTATTAAAATACTCCTTCCATAAGAAATACATGTAAATTAGTATGCGAAATGGGGCGAATCCTATCCGCCCAAAGGAAATATAAACGATATTCTGGAAATCTTGACAAAATTTCCAGTCACTTTAATCATTAAAATTGATCCAAAATTAAGGCGAGGGCGAGGTAACAAAATGTCGAGTTTTGGTGTTATTTTATTGGAAATATAAAAAAAAACCTTAAATCATCCCATTTTTAAACGCTCACCCTCGCTTTAATTTTTGACAAAATTTCATGATTAAAGTGTCAAATTACTGGAAATTTTGTCAAGATTTCCAGAATATCAGTTATATTTCCTTTGGGCGGATAGGATTCGCCCCATTTCGCATACTAATTTACATGTATTTCTTATGGAAGGAGTATTTTAATAAGATATCAATTAAATAAGTTATAACTCGTAATCTGTTGAACCAAAATAAACACATTATATACTTTTCTTGTAGAAAATTTAATCTTCTTCAATTTTATAATTTACTATAGTATACAAAAAGTTGATAGTTTTCGAGATATAATCAAAAAACCCAAAATGCGTACCTTTTTCCCCCCTTTTTCCCCCCTCCACCCCCTGGCTCAGGAGTCAGGACTTTTGGTATGTTAACACCCTAAGCCCCCTGAACAAGTTTCTGAAGGAATCGCTTAGTTACCTGCTCACGCACTCTACACCTACTTTTGGATCATACATTGACTGGACTATATCGGTGCGTGTGCTTCTGGGACAATAGACAGTATGTAGAAAGAATAAAATATCTAACTAAAACTTTGTCAAACATAAAAGTCATATAATTTGTCAATAACTAATTCTTTTATATTTTCAACTGATTTTCTTTTCTTGTAAATTTAACGTTGTAAATTAATTTATCTTATTATTGTTGGTTTTTGCCTTTTCAAAGTTTTCTTTTGCTGTTGTAACACTTTGTTGCTTTTGTTGTTTTTCTAAATTTAATTTTTGTTCATTACACGTTGAGTAACACCCTCAGGCAGTCTTATGTCTCTAACCTAACACCTCTTCACTAAGCTAAGCGAGTGTGAAACTTTTAGGAAACTTAAAGTTAAAGTGAGACATGGGACTCGCAACTGGTAAGCCAATAAGAAAAAACCTAAAACAGTGTTTATTATTTTTGATGGTCTTGTAATGAATATTATAACTCACTGTTTATATGGTGAGTCGGTGGATCAGTCTGTAGCGTCACGGACTTAAGGCCCAAGGCACCGATGTCGGCTCACCCCTTGCTTTGCTGTTTATGATCCACGCCACGGCCGCCTTTAACTCCAGGCCACGGCCTTCGAAGTGGCTTCGGTTTTGTTTGGAAGCAGCTAAAAAATGGTATTTGTATATTTACGAAAGATTGGTTACTGGACTATGACAATATTGACTCCACTTAAAATGTACAGATATAGATTTTTAATTCATATTGTTTCGGTTTTCAATTCTGTATGTTTTATTAAAATATGTTCATACCTTTAAATTTAAATCAATATAAAGTGCGAATTAATGAGCTGATGTCACCTGTCTGCCATGTTATCTTATGGGACTTCTGTCGCTAAACAACACCATCTGCGACGTTGCCAATTCTACTAGGCCGCGGCCTGTAGTTAAAGGTGGCCGTGTCCACGCACGGGCAGTTAGTATGTGGACGGGCAAATGCAAGAATAGGCCGCCAACCTCTGTGATGATGAGAGAGTCAAAATCATAAATAAGAGAAGCAAATGGTAAGTAAAGAATAAAGATATGGTAAGACTTAAATTGTGATTAACGTTCGCACGAGTGAGTACTATGACTATCCGCAGTACTATCCTGAAAATTAGACCAATTCATATATACAAAGGCGATAATATGGTTCGGATTCCAATATAAACTGTAGGTCCCTTAGTTGCCATTTGCTGTATGGGCTATTAATTAACAGCTGTGTTTACGGAATAAGTCGGCCTTAGTCGCTAACAAGACTAAAAGATCGCGCCACTCATCATACACTTATTATCTCCACTCTACATTCATACTCGGCTTAAAATACCTACTTTGTATGGTCACCATTTCATTGAAAAATATTAAAAGTATCAATTAGATATTTACTCATGTTTTTATGTTGTAATCTATTACCATATTTTTTTAATAAAAACTTATATTTGTTAATAAGGTTATTTGTTTATATCCATGCTCACTCCGCTCAATTGGCAGACGAGCCACCCTAGTAGATTTGTGAACGATGTTAATATTCGAAGTATCAGATTCGCCGCTTGTCTGTCCAAAAGGTGTTATTGTATTGGCTCCAATGGCCAAGCTGACAAGCAGACAAGACAATAATGTTTTTGAGATCATGATCATGTCATGTCGTCGCGTCGATGTTATGTTATGTCTCATTCTCAATTTTAATTTCATGTTTGTGCTTTCATTTTATTAGGGCTTAAAACATTGAACTCGTATAAAATTTGTATTATGTGACAAGATTTTAGTAGTCGTATCTTATAAACAAAGTGTTTGCTAATATTGTTAGTTTGAAAGTGCGTATATGATGGCGGAGCTAAACGAATATAAGATGAATTTTGCTGCACTTAAAAGAGTTGATCCCTATGCAAAAGGTTTGGTAGAAACTGCAGCTCATGTAGCGTTGTACACTTTTGAAAATGAATGGGAGAAAACTGACATAGAAGGTGCCCTTTTTGTTTACAGTCGTACAGGTGAACCTTTTCACAACATATTGATCATGAACAGACTTAACATGAAAAATTTAGTTGAACCTGTTACTGAAGGTTTAGATTTGCAGCTTCAAGATCCTTTTCTTCTGTATAGAAATTCACAGAAGAAAATATATGGGATTTGGTTTTATGACAGAGATGAGTGTATAAAAATTGCAGGAGTTCTCTCAAAAATTATTCAAGAAACCCTTGAAAGTAAACCAGGAAAGGTAGGCCGACAGCCAGCATCAGGTTCAGGAAGTAATGTTGACATATTTTCAATGTTAACAAAAGCCCAAGAAGAATTTAATTCTAAATCTCCAAGGAAGACGAACGCAGACTTTTTGGGCAACTCTCATGACATGAATTTTAATCCAAAAGAAACAGATTTAACACCTAAGAGTGTAATGGATTTTTTCGCAAAAGCAAGCAATGGGTCTAAGTTTGCTCAAGACACAAACATCAATCAGCCCCCAGTTGTTTTTATAAATAACTCAAGATCAGGCCCACCACCAGGATTATCACGTATGCCATCTCTCCCGATAGCCATTCCTCCTCCTCAAAATGATGTTAAACCGTTACTGCAGCGTTTGATGTCTAATCCAGTTCATAGTGTTGAACACATTGAAAAGCAACAAAGAGCAATCACTCCTCAACAAGGAGACTTTGCTGGTTTCTTGAAGAATGGTGGTAACCACATGATCCCAACCAGTAACAGTATTGAAATACGAAATAATTTTTCGTTCACCACAAAACAAGGCCTGCCAATAATTGAAAATGGCCCTGTCAATATTCCAGGAATAAATAAAGTGGAAAACAGTTTAGGTTTTTTAAGAATCTCTGACTCGCCCCCGAGTGTTGTGCACTCTCAGCAGTTTTTTAACTCTAAATTGACCCAAAATTCTTCCCCAGTTGTAACTGAAGGACTGACAGAGTCAACTTCAATTCTTACAGAAAACCGTCCTCTGTCTGCACCAATGGACTTAAAACCAGCTCTTATGCCTCCTGTAATGTTTACTTCATCTGCAAAAAAGGAAGGAAGTGTGGAGGCAATAACACCAGCTTCATCCAAGATTGGCAATTCTGCACAAGCTAATCCTCAGAATATCCCAGAACCTCTGACTAAGAAACAGTTTGTTCAAGCATTCAGTTACTTGATGAAAAATGATCAGGAATTCACAAATAAATTACATGAAGCATATTTGAAGTCATTTGCGGAACTACTGTCTTAATCATCTTCAGGCTATCTCCAGTTGCTGTTTAACGTTTACAGTATTTGGTAAGTGTTATACAGTTTTAGTAAGTTACCTGGTAGGCCTCAAAATTGTGAGACCTGTAGCCTAACCTACTAAAAATAAGCATCAATATAATTTGTTTGTCCAATGAAGTGAGACACAGCTGGGTGGTCTTAACTTATTTAGGCCTATTTGTTCTACACATAGATAGGGGCTGTTTTAACTTACATAAGCATATAAAACACCCTTTGACTTGCCAACTTAACTTAATAACCGAGTAGCCTACAGTTCCACACATCTTTTTGCCAGAGCTAAAATTTTACGATCAAGGCAAAAGTTATTAGGTATCGGATAAAATATTAGTTTAATAACGTGTCGAACGAAAAACACAATCGAAGTTGTGACTTATGATTTTTATGAAGTTTTTTTTTACACTGTTTTGTGGCGGTTAAGTTAGGTTAACTTATATTAGCTTAGTTCAGTTTGGCTTGGTTTAGTTTATAATAAAAAGGGTTAACTTATATTCATAAAAACAAAAGTTAGGCTGTAAACTTAAGTGTAATATTTAAAAGAGATACATGTACTAAGACGTGAATTTATATTGATACTAACTTATCCTCTTTTTCATGAGTTTCATAAACTTTTAACAAACATATCCTAACTTATATGCCGCAGCAGCATATTCTACTGTAAAAGAATGGCGGACAGTACCTTAAGAAAATCCCTTTTAAAGACCAATAGGCCTATCGTTACAGAAAATCAATATTTATATTCAATAGTTGGACTATTCAATTGAAATATTTAATTCAATAGGTAGGTAGGTACCTATATCGAACTAATAAGGTACCTACGGTAGGCTATTTGATCCAATCTTCTTGTAGGTTTTCTGTGAAACTGTACGTAAATAATCGTACATAGCCTACTGTAACTTAGGCCTAATTTTAAACGGTGCCAAATTGACCTATGCTTGTTGCTCCCAAATAAAAGTAGGCCTATTCTGTAGGCTATAAATTAAATTTCATGTTTGATAAAACAAAAATTTCAACTAAGAGAGAGAGAGAGGGGGAGAGAGGGAGAGAGAGAGGGGGAGAGAGAGAGAGAGAGAGAGAGAGGGGGAGAGAGAGAGAGAGAATAACTTTTAATCAAAATCGTTAAGATTTGACAGGCGTCAGATTAATGTTATTGTTATAGGCTAATAGGTGAGATTGTGTAGTGAGTGTACTTCAGGTAATAGGTTCTCTCCAGTTCATGAATTCTTTAACAGAATAGAAGGGACGTTGGGAAAGCCACTGCTTCAGGTGAGATTTTACTTGGTTGGGACACACAGACTTCAGTTCTTCTGGTAGAATATTGTAGAATCTGGCTCCGGCGTAGGAAGGTTTCATCTCGAAAAACTTCCTGAGATGAAAGGGCAGGTTGAAATCTCCAGCATGTCTGGTGTTGTAGGAGTGAAGATGGCCATTTCTTTTGAGGCTTCTGGAGCATGCGGAGTCCACAGCTTCTAAGATGTATATGGCTACAACAGTGAGTATTCCCCAATCCCTGAAAGTCGTCTGCAGCTATCTCGCCAACCCAACTTTGCCATTGTTCGTATGGCTCTCTTCTGGAGAAGTAGGACTCTTTCCAGATTGGCGCAGGATGATCCTCCCCAGAGGGATACTCCATAGTTCATGTTGCTCTCGAAGAGAGCGTGGTAAGCGACTCTTGCTGTTTCCAATGTACTGGAGGCCATGACTCTTCTGATTGCGAATAATGCGCTACTTAACTTCATGCAGAGGATATCTACATGGGGTATCCATGTAAAAGTGGAATCGATGGTCATCCCTAGATGTGTTGTAGAGCTCACAGTGTCAAGGTTCGGCAAGCCAGGAAAGGGTTTTTTACCGAAAGTCAGTTGCTTGGTCTTGTCTTCGTTAAACACATGGTTGTTATTTTGACAGTAGTCTAATGCAACATTCAGAGCAATGTAGGATTTGACTTCGAGATTTTCCAAGGACTTGCTGGAGGATACGATTACAGAATCATCTGCGTACATAAAGCACTGTCCATAAGCGTTGACACATTCTGGTAGGTCGTTGGTGAAGAGAATGAACATCACTGGCCCCAAGACAGAACCTTGAGGGACGCCTCTTGTGACAGGAAGTGGGCTGGATCTAATCATCTTCGATACTTTTCCGTCTGTCGGGTGGATTTCAACTACTTGCTGTCTGTCTGAAAGGTAGCTAGAAAACCACTTCAGGGCAATATTTTGAATTCCCAAGGCTTCTAGTTTTGACAGGATCAGATCATGGCCTAAGCAGTCAAATGCCTTGCTTAGGTCAATGAAAATTCCGGCGACGGTCTCCTCCTCTTCTAGGCAGTCTATCACATGTTCACAAAGGTCCACCAGAGCTGTCATAGTTGAGCGGCCTTTGATGAAGCCGTGTTGTCTTTTAGTCAGGAGATCATTTGCAATCATGTATTCAAGTAGCCTGGATAATACAACCTTCTCCACTATCTTAGATACTGTCGGCACCAGTGATATTGGCCTGAAATTGCCAACTTCATCCCTTTTCCCTCGTTTATGTAAAGGGTATATCTTTGATTGTTTCATTTTTAAGGGGAAGACGCCTTGGGCCAGGGATAGATTTGATATATGAAGAATGGGCTGAAGTAATTCGTTTTTACAATGCTTGACCATTCTTGATGATATGTCATCCAAGCCAGTTAAAGACTTAGACTTCAAGGAGTCTATGACAGTTTTAATTCCAGTTTGTGAGTTGGCATGAAGAACTCTAGTTTTGAATTAACAGCTTCTTCCTTGGGCAGTTGAAGTGATTGAGGCGCAGAGTTGTCCAAGCCTAGGGTTTTGTCTGCGATCGTTGCAAAATAATCGTTAAAGTGTTGAGCAATTTTTTGAGGGTCCTCCTGGCGGGTATCATCTATTAGAAGGGATGTAATTTCGGCCTTTGTAGGTTTTGTGGATTTCCGCTCTTCATTTATAACATCCCATACAGCTTTGCTCTTGTTGTCAGAGTTCCGAATGCGCTCCGCATTAAAATCTCGTCGAAGTGAATTCAACTTCAAGTCATATGATTTTTTCAAGTTATTGGCTATTAACTTGTCTTCTGCACGCCCAGTTAAAATATAACAGTTGTTTGCCGCCAAGAATCTTTGTCTAAGCTCTTTAGCACCTTCATCATTTATTATTTTTGTTTTTCTTGGCTCTTGATTTTCTGTATGGACAGGCAAGATTAAGGTTTGTGGTAACGATGTGCATGAACTCGTTGTAGGCCTCATCAACGTCGTGTTTGTTGAGTACACTTTCCCAAGTTTCTTGAGAGAGCTGAACCTTCAGCTGGTCAAGATTACGCGCGGTCACCATCCGTCTGGTGTGACTTGATTGCTTGGGGATAGTCGTAGATAGGCGTATGGAGCATAATTGTCCGGTATGATCGGAGATGCCGGTGTTGATCACTTCGACATTGATCAGGTCCAGATCAAGGTTTGTGCAGACCGCGTCAATGGATGTAGAAGAAAAAGTCGAGATGCGAGTTGCAGGTAAATCAATTCTCTTGCAGTCGTATGATGTCAAGATTTCTGTCAGCAGCCTCTTCTCGGTCGAAGGCTTGAGTCCGTCGATATTGAGGTCTCCAATGACCAGGGTGGATGAGTTGAATACAGGAAAGGTGTCAATAATTTCAGCAAGAAGGTTTAGGGCTTGTTTAGTTTGATCCAGAGTGTCTGCGGGTGGTCGGTAAACTCCCAGTATGTACAGATATTTTGAACCACAAAGGCGCATCTTTACGGCTGCTACTTCACAGATAAGTGGTATGCTGTGACCCTCTACTTCCAGGTCAAAAACTTCGTTAGATAGCTTGTCATTTTTGTAGATGGCTACCCCACCTTTGTTGAGGTTGTTTCTTCCAAAGGAGGCTATCAAAGTGTAGTTTAATAGTCTTGTGTTCATTATTTCCTCGGGTGAGTTACCATGTTCAGTAAATACTGCTATATCTGGATTTAGCATGTGAAGAAGATGGTTGATTCTATTTATTTTATTGTTGATCCTGTCTGTGTTTTGATGCAAAATCTTTAGAGGCTTCTGTGTGGAATCTCTGAAATTTGTTTTGGTTGGGATACTCCTAAAAAAGAACTGTCACTTTTTATTTCATCAGGTGGAGATACAATGGTCCCATCATAAGTCTGTCTATTGTTGTTTGATGAGGAAATTGAAGCAACATGTACAGCTTTAGCAAGTGGTGAATGTTTGTTAGTACATGTGGTAGTTTGCAGATCATTGGTATCGGACATTTTAAAAGTAGTGTAGAATTGAATGTATTTTGAGTAGAACTCTTCTATAGATTCATTGGGTGGTCGTATAATCGTGTTCAATGGTGGAAGCCTAGCTCGAGATTCTGATGTTGCGTCATCTTTGGATAAAGAAATGTTTAAATTTATTCTATCTGGTGCTACGTTTTCAGTATTGAAGGTGTCAGTTGCGATGGTATCTTGATGGGAAAGAAGGGATTCATGTGGTGTTCTGATGATGAGATCAAATTTGTCTTCGAGCTTCGCTAATGATTTGCAGTCTAACTTACTAGTAACAAACATAAACACACACAAACATATAAACAATAAACATATTGGGCTTTTTCTTAAGTTACCTTCCTAGACTTGTTACAGCCGTAACGGCTGTAGTTAACACAGATATCCCTATTCAGCATCTAGCGACCAACGATGTAAAGAACTACTAGATTGCGCTCTCAGTGGCGTAGCGGGCGCTGTTTTCAGTCTAGCTCCCCCCACTAGGCAGACCCCTCCGCAGCCCATACACTCACCATTATAAAACACTCCTTTTTAGTCGCTGGTCTGTTGAAATATATACCTAGAGATAAAATATTGCTAACACATGTCAAACTCTTTTTAAACTGTTCTAAACTTAAGTTCTGTTTAGTTTCTTGCAGAAAATAACACATGTGAACTCTTTTAAACTACACTATTTACATTTGATTTTAGATGTTTTTAGTCAACTGATATTGCTAGTTCCAAATTATGTATGGTAGATATGGTAAATTAATAATCAGTAATGTCAAATAAAGGATAGAAAATAGGCTACAATATTTGTAACTTCAAATCCATTACTAATCGAAAACATATTACACATGAACATTTCTGAATAGAATAAATCTGCTTAGTTTTGGCTGCATACCTATGTTTGTTGTGAACAAAATACATTTTTTCTTTAGCTTTTTTGTGATCTATTTTGTAAGATTACATTCTCATCACTCCGTGAAAGAAAAACGTACTGTAGGTATTGTGTTTAAGTCAAACATAGGTCTGCAGCACAAACCCAACAAAATCGTTTTATCCAGAAATGTTTTAATGTTTTTGTTTGATAAAATACGTTTGAAATTAAAAATATTGTATTTTTTATAAGTATATTGTAGGCATTCTTTGCAATTAGCCTACAGTTAGGGGGACTTATTAACTTATTACCTACCATGTAAAATTTGGAACTAGCAATAAGTTATCAGTTGCCTTTAAAAATTTCTAAAACCAAGATTAGTGAATGTTAGTTAGGCTATACAGAATTCAAAAGGGTTGTTTTCTGCAAGAAACAAAACCGACATAGGCTAAAGCTTTGAATAGTAAAAAAAAGTAAAATATGCATTAGCAATAATATTATCTCTATATAGCCTATTTCAACAGACTGGTGACTAAGAAGGTGCATTTAATAATGGTGAGTGTATAGGCTGCAGCGGTGTCTGCCAGTAGGGAGTGGGGGAAGCAGGACCGCGCGGCCACCACTGAGCCAGCGTTCCATATGTGTTGGTTATATCGTTGCTGGCAACTAGGGGAGTTCAGTAGTGGACAACATGGTAGATGGGTTTCCTATCTCAATTTTTAATAGCAACAAAATTATAATGATGCATTAGTGTTGCACTAAACCTATCTGCCTAGCTTAACACATTATTCAGAGATACACTACCTCCACAGGGGGACGGCCCGTCGGAAGAAAATCTTAAATGTAGGCCTAAGAGCATATGTTGATGTGCACATCAAATTAAAGGCCTTTACTAGTAGAATACAATGCCGCAAATTTAAACTCAAAATGGACAACGGAGCTCAAAGATGGCAGCTGTTCAAAGATTTCTTGAATCTGCCATTTTGAATCTTTGAACGGCTACCATTTTTTACTTAGTTCTCCTTTTGAGCTCAAATTTTTGCCATTGTATATTCTACTAGGCTACTAAAGCCCTTTAATTTTATTTGCATAATCGACCTATGCATACGCTTATGATTTTCTTCCGTTTTCTAGCGCACCTGAGGTGGTAGCGTATAATAATAGTAGCCTATTGCAAATTCAATGCATCTTTGAATAGTTGTCATTTTGGACTAGATTGTCCGTTTGAATTTGGGTTTGCGGCGTTGTATTTTACTAACAAAGACCTTTAATTTGATGTGCATACTAACCTACGCTTACATTTAAGATTTTCTTCTGACTCCTATCGAGTCGTCCGCATGAAGAGGTAGCGCACCACTGAATAATGTGTTAAAATGATTATAATGCTCAATAACTGTGTATCACGTTTTAAAGCTACTCTTAAAACGGCTACTTTTAAATTACTCTTTTAAAATATTTAAAACCGTCCTGTGACTATTTTCCACCCTATTCATTATGAATGCCTCCTGGACTGATGTTTTAAGAATAAGTACCAAGAGACCGAGCTTTGCTCGGATTGAATAAAGCATTTCTTAAATGTGAACCCATTGTGAACACAGTGATTCATCTACACTCCTGCTCAAGATGGCCGGCCTGTTGTTTATCATATTGCTCAGCCATCATATCTGAAATTATTTCCCTACTGTTCTTATTGGATGCAAGATTTGGTCGACGTTCTTAAACCTTGGTGAGATGTACTGTATGTGCTGGTTGGAACTGGCTCGGTTGTAGACAAAGTTGTAAAATTGTTTACCTGATGATCGATTATATAGCTCTTTTTCCCTTGCAGACTCTGTATATATTTTCGGTTTGGAGGTCTTCCGTGTTTCATTCTAAATATTGAAAATTTATCTTGAAAACATTTAACACTAATATGTATACTTAATAAACCATGAAGTAATTATAACTATTCTTTAAAACATCTAGTTTAAACTAACCAATCCAGTTATTTTTGTTTATACGTCAAATCAAATGATGACAAAAAATACCCCCACCGCAGCAAACCTGCAGACTAAACGAATTTCCATTTGCCTGTTTTCTCACTTAGCCCTAACTCTATTATTTAATATTAGGTTTAACGAGGACCTATGTTTGCAGCTACAGGAAGGGTAATAAAGTGTGTTTTTAGTAAAATCTTACTAGGTTAGTATAAAATAAATAAATTTGCTAAGTTTAATACATAAACAAGTAAAATACAAAAGTTTATTTATTCTCTTAAGACTCCAAAATGAGTACCGGTAGGCAATAGTCATCTATGAGTTACGATTGAACTGAGGAGACGGAAACATCAGTAATCTAGATTATATAGCCTAGTCATAATCATGAAAGAAATGGTTAGATCAGAAACATAACATTGTAAAGCAGACTTCCTTCCATACAGGAATACTGGCATTGGTGCATAGGCCTAAGTTATGGAATTTAATGAAACAATCCTAATTTATTTGTAACAATATAAAATTGGAAAACAAAACATTAAGATAAACCTAACAAAACAGTAGGTTTGCTAGTATTGTATGTTAAAGCAGGCTATTTAATTTAACACCAAGCTCCAGTTGTATTGGGTGTCGCATCTTAACTGCTCATGCTAGCAGTTTTGTCGTACAACTTGACTTGGGACTAGAACCACTTTTGTTGCACGGCACCAGTCGCGTCACAATAATGGGTTTAGTTTATTAACATGCGAAGCAGTATGACTCCTAATCTAGGTGCTACAGCCGTACGATTAGAGTCGCTACCTCAAGGCAAATCTGTGAAACTATAATGAGTCTGTTGTGTTCTAGGTTTCTTAGCATCAGTGCCGAGATCTGAATGGACCCTACCTGAACATAATCTTTCTAATGGAGAAGATAGCGTAGGCCTACACAAGTTGCTAGGATCTGCAAACACTTTTAACATAGAAATCAACAAAGTAAAGAAGTAAGTTACATCATCGTTAAATATCATGATGGACAAAAAATAGCATGACAGGGATATTTGTAAATCAATCTCGTATTATACTGCTAAAATGTGTAGGTAGCCAACTTAACAATTGAAAATTATTTGACATAAAAATTACTTTTTGAAATAATAAATTGAAATTATTATGGATCATTTTCTAGCTAACTAATTTTATTTACTGTTTAGCCTTTTAAAACTAAAAAAAAAAAAATACAGTAACCATTAGTATTTTTAATACCGACAAACTTCCTTTAAATTGATTGGAGAAGGCAAATTTTTGTCTTAAAGTAATACAGAACATACAATAATTTTAAGAGATTGATTTTTCTTTTACGTGATTGAATCGGTGCTTTATAATGTTGTAACCTGATTTATTTATATTCTGGACATTAGCCCAAATAGGCCCTAATTAAAATTTAGCATAAAATACGCTAACGTCAAGTTTTTAAATACATTGTTTTTTTCAAATAACTACATAACTTATATAGGCTACATTTTTATTTTGGTGGGCAAATCAAGGAGTTGTAAAAAATCGTCTGAATGTAATTTCCAGCGTCTTTTAAGTGCAAGTTATTTGTAGGACTAAGTTAATGGAAATTAAGAATATGAAAATGAACCTAAATGTGTATGTGAGGACATCATTTCATGTAACTGTTTATTTATAGTCCTCAATCAATGTTTACTTGCACATTGTTATAGACTTAGACCTCAGTTACATTTCCCATTTCTTAAGAGTAAGACTGATAATTAGGCCCACCATAAAATGACCCTGATTACCAACGAGATACGTAATTTTCTCTTTAAAACTCATTATTAAGAACCTATTTAGTATTTATATTATTTGATGGAGAAGATTTTTTTATTTTTAAAAGATATTTGATTTTTTGTTAAATTTAAAATGTTTGTCTTATGTGTTTTAAGTTGTTTTAAGCTAGACCATAACTCTATTTTTCATAGAAGGAGACATTTTTTTGTTACCGTACCTTTATTTTCAGTTTAATGTCATTAAGACCATATTGAGTTTTAAATAGGTAATCAGAGAAAAACAGGGCTTAACCAACAACAATTTAAAATCATTCTGGTCTTTAATAACCTATGCACATTGGATTTGTAAAAACTTCTAAACTAACTGAATAAGGTCTAATATTTCGCAGAATTGTAACTGAGGCCTTGTTATTGTTTTTATTTAAGTGTCATTTGAGATAGAATCACTCAAAAGCTTTTAAGATTTCTTTGATATTTTAAAAATTAAATAGTTTTTAAAAATGAGTAGAATGGGGCCTGTCAGACCGGCATAAGGATAAAGTTTGCAAGACTTTGTTTCCAAAGGCTGCTATCAGCATAACAAATTAATACAATTTAACGTATGGTGTTGCTTAAAAACTAAAAACATGATCAAAGTTGTACATTTCATCCCCTAATGTTCGACTCTTGTTAAGTTTATACATTGGTTTCAATTCTGCACTCTTTTCACTATTTCATAAAATTGAGTCTACTAAAAGAGACATTTTAATTTCAAGTTTGACTCTGTTTCAGCTTATTTTTCATAGTTACCGGTAGGCCTACCAGATTATGAAAATATGGTCTAGGGGGGAGAGGGGGGGGGGGGCTCGAGCTCCTGCCCTTATAAAACTCCAAGTTAACAATTTTTTTTTTACTATGCAGTAAAAACATAAAAGTATTCACACTTATGACCGATGAGTTATTCATAAGAAGTGCATAAAATAAAACTTTATATCTAAATTTGAAATATTTTCCTGATCCCCCTCTTTCCTGGGTGTTATTCTGTACCCTTTAGACCCTCTGACCCCCATTATGGAAAATTTAAATGGACGTCCATGTTAAAAGGAAATGCATATATATAATAAACATTAAATCGTAAAACAGTAGGCCTATAATTAACTGTTTAGTAAGTGCAGTAATAAATAGTTTAAATGAAATATTAAGATGAATTTTAAATAGAGGAGTTAAAGTCTTTTTGTTAACTCAGTTCAGACAAGCAGATTTAAAGCTAGCATAAACTATCAAAACTGTTGGAGCCTGTCTTTTGAAATTTAAAGAAAAACTGTTTACATTTATTTACAGATTTAATTTGGTTGTTTGCTTGGAGAAGATAACAATTTAGAAATTAATGTGCAGACTCAATGATTCTTGATTTGCTCAGCAATTGTTATCTTACATTAAATGTTTTTGTACAAAATTACTGTGAAACACTGTGAATGTGAATATTTGTAATCTATTTATTAAAAAGTTTGGATTAAGATGTCTTGCTAAGTTGTTATAGAATGTGAAGTAAAGATTATACTTGTTTATGAAAAATAATGAAGTCTATCTCTTACTACACTGAAAATTATGATTCAATTTTTAGAAGTTTTGGTACTGTACTAGAAAACGATGTATTAAACAAGTTTTGTAACATGGAGCTAACGGATATTTGTAGTTCTTGAGAAAACACCTCATTCAATATCTTAGAAAACAACCACCTTAGCCATTCTACACTCCATAATATACACCCTTACAGTACAAGGGCACAAGAGTCTGCAGTTGGCGGCAGCCAATACCATGACCGGGCTAGCGCGTCATTGCAACATCGCCCGTTGACTACCACTCGGCCCCCATTGCGGGCTGTGGTGACACTGATTAAAATATATTAACCAATATTTTTAAATCAGCTGGTATACATTTTCACGAAAATTGGTGAAACTATATATATATATTACAGAAATAAACAGAGCAAAGCTTGATGTAACTGAGTATGGTAACTAGCTGTTATCCACAGGCTTCACCCGTTTGACTTCATAAGTATCAATAAAATTATTGCTGAAATAAACAAAACAGAATACAGTAATACAAACAAATAATCACACCTGATTTTAAGTAAATAAGTAACATATAAATAAGTAAATAAGTACAGTTGAGGTATTTTTAACATTAGGTATATGGAAAGTTCCCTTTAGAAAGGAATTACGACCTTAACACGTTTACTGCTGAAATCCTTTACTATGGTGCTCCCTAAACTGCGGGCGGAGGCGCGCTACTGAATCAGCGATCGCTATTGGCATTGAAATATCTCAGTAAGACAAATCACAAAAGAGCAGTGATGATTGTTCTGCGTTACCCCGAAAGTGGACGTAGTTCACTGAAACACCCAAAGGGAGCAGCACTGCCTGGATCAATAACTAGAGTCTTTGTAATACGGCTCGAACAGAGGATTCCCCGATAACGGGACAAAATCATAGCCAGACGGGATTTTAGGACTAACCTACACCAAAATAAAGCTCGCATTCTAAGCTACAGCCTGGCAACAATCACAACGTTCCCGTCCGTGTGCTGGGTTCATACTGATACAATGTTTGGCAGGCGAGCACACTACTGATATAACAGTAGGCTGCAAGCAGTGCCAGTGCCGCGCTACTGCTATAGCAGTAGGCCGCTGTAAACGTGTAAACGGGCAATTTATGAAATAATGGATAGTTTTGCGCAATGTTTCTCGTCATGACAAACATTTTAAGCATATTGTTTATGGGGGTGTGACTTGTAGTTTTCCCAAAAGTTCATGGGTACTTTATTTATATATGGATTAACAGATATTATTCTTAAAATTTAACAATCAATTAATAGATTTGGCAACAACGCTTGGTCCTCGCCTTTTGAAGTCACATGGTAAATAGGCTCTTCCCTCAACTGCAGACTCTGGTGGTGCATATTGTAAAACATTTTATGCATTTAATGCTATTAATAATCATGACTGTAACATTGTCTAGTCCATAACAGTTTTAAGTACATGATAATTTGTGTCATTTCCAATTTCAATTTTGATAAAATGTCTCTTAGGCCTATTTTATGCTGTCATAGAAGTTGTGGCATTTAAAAGAATTATCTGTGATAAAACGTGGATATTTTGTTCTAAATCCAGATCAGTGACGTTAGGTTTTTATCATTAATTGACATTGTCACATTTAATTAATGACTCTCCTTGGTTATGTCTTATCCTCTAGTTGTAAATAAAGGGATATTATTGTTGCATTTTATTTATTGACGTTACAATAAATGGGTCTAACTGTATAGTAATCAGGCCTATTGCTATTCAGGATGTTTCTTAAAGGCCTTCACAACTATGATAGCTTGTAGAGAGATATTACCATTTTACTTACAGACATATTTTACTGCACATTTTTATTCTATGAAGGTGCAATATGGCATCCACAAACAATGTACAAATGTTTTATATAGCCTACCTTATGTGCATAAAAATTCTTTACCTTGCAGGGGTTTGTCAAAGAAACTTTTCTTTACCATTAATAATATATCTGCTAATAAGCTATAGCTAATAATATATAGCTCAACGATAAGCCTTACCTTGCCAATCAGTGATTGAAATAATTATGTAAAATATAAATACTAGTTTTTTACAAGCTCTCAGGGTAAAAAGTACTTTGAGAAACAACCTACAATTTTGAAATGCATGCAGAGTATTGTAAATAATGGTCTTGGTGTTGATGTAGATTATTGTCTGTTCAAAATCAGAGTTGTTTTTATGTGGTCTATATGTATCCAAATAAAAATAAGTGATCCAAGGCTTTGTAAGATATTTGCAACATTTTATCAGATAAAACTATACTTCCTCTTGTCATTTTAAGTTTCAACTAGATTAGATTGCTCCATAATATCATTGCAGTATTTGAAACAAAAATATATTATCTTGTATATAGTTAATAATTTACTGTAAATGGATCGTCTCCACTAGATGTACAGGGTATGGACTATATATATTGTTTTAGTTGGATATTTTAAAATGAAATCCAACTCATATCTCTTTCTAGATTGTACTTAATGGTTATGGATAAAGCTATACATATGGATCATTATTTTCTAAAGGAAAAATAAAATGCAATATTATTATGATGTGATAAAATGAGACAAAACATTCTGTTTAAAAAGTGTCATTTGAAATATGGTGATTCACCATCAAAAAAGCAGAGGAAAAATTGGTTAAAGTCTAGTTTGGCTGAAAGATTCACAGTAAATGGCATCTATATCTCTTGCTATTGCCGTAAAAAATGTAAAATATTGTTGACTTTCAATATTATTTTTAACGCTTTGTTGATACTTGACAATCGTATAAGAAAAAGATTCATACAAATTATAAGTAGGTAGTTCTGATGCACTATTCTGACTAAGAATTTTTGAAATAGCAAAAAAATCCCCATTTGTAAGTTGGGTTGGTTATTTCTTAGTCCTTAACGGCTTTACGGAATAATTTAAGAATATTTTTTTACAGTTAGTTTTGAATTAATTCTCAATATAACATTGTACAAAAAGCTTATGTGATAGTTATATGAACTTAATTTAGTTTGATTTGTTTTCAAGGTAGATTAGATCTATTGTACAAGACTGAGGCTTGGGATATTCCTCTATTTTTCTTGTGTGATAAAACTCCTGTAAAATGTTTAAATAAAACTTAATTGTTAGATATCCAAACTGAAGTTGTTCTTCTCCTGCCTATTATTTATCATAACAATAGTAAATATGTTTATAAAAGGTTATAGGGAATTTTTTGTGTACAAAAACTTGCTATTCTGAAAAAAATATTAAAATAAGTCCTGCAAAATATTAAAATGTTAACTACTTTAAAAATATATCACCAAGTTGCTGAGGTTTAACCTGTATAAAGTGGAACCTCGTGAACAAGACCCTTGATAACTTGTTTTAAATATAAGTTGCTGAACACATACAAGGGTTGTCCGTAAATTAGGGTCTCCATCGCAACCGCCATAGCAAGCTGTGTTAATTCAAACCTGAGTCCAACATCGTGTCCTCTACCGGTTCCCACCCCTATTGGAAGAATGGTCTCATCATAGTATTAAATAATGTTGAGTTGGAAAATGGACTCTTCTGCCATCTGTGATAATGTTTCCCATCATAGGAAGGGGTAAATTCCTGTTGGTCAGTTTTAGTTGTGTACGCATAAAAGTGTTTTTACGTAAAACTAGGGCTTGGGAGTTTAAAGACCGTACATATTTTCACAATGGGGTTGATTGTGGGAGTTCCATCAGTTTCCATTGAGACAGGATTAGATTTGAGGTAACTTTGCTACTTGGCGTGCTTCAGAATTCCAGGGCTGGCCGTAATCCTTGAAAAATGTATAGAGACGTTTCCCAACAGTTTTGCAATCTATTTTAAACAGACACGCACTATGATCCACATGAAAAATTCTCCTAACTTTGGAAACCGCCCAAACTTGACAAATGAACAGCATCAGTCGGTCTACATGAAAAACATTGTTCACATTTTTACAACCACCTTCAAACTCCCTCCACCCATTACGCACATTTTCTAGGTTTTTATTACATGTTAAACTACCCATTTTATTACATTCACGTCTGTCTGGCCATGGACTTCAATAGCAGTTGATGACTGAGACCACAGAGATCTAATCACAGAAGACGATTTACCATAGTTATAATTTTACCATAGAAAATTATGTTTTTCTACTGCAATTTTTAAACGGTAAGAGATAGAAAGAAAACTTAAATACGTAAAATGTTTGTTAAAAAAGGACCTTTCACGTGGTATGAAATTTGTTATACATTGCTATTTAAGAATTTTGAGTTTTCAGCTTTCTTTTATTCTTAAAATTTGAGATTTTTTTAAAATTAGAAAATAACATGGAAAATGCCCTTACTACAAGTTATCTTAAAGAGTAGCTCAAGAATAAGCTTGGAAAGAAATTTGGCGCTGTTCCGTTAAGTAGTTAGGGTAATACGGTACTTAACTTCAAAGTCCTTTTTTAACAATTTTTGACCCACCCTGTAAATACCTTAAAGATAATTAATCTTTTTTCGACCAAAATGATCGGGGTGATTAGACCTTTAAATTGATGTATCACACAACCCATATGTTTACATTTGAAAATTTCTCAAAAAGCACCCCTACCCCCCCCAAATTGGGCCCTTTTGGGGCATTTTTCAAAATTGAAAATAATTTATTGGATTTGGCATGTCCAAATTAGGGGGAAATGAGAACAAACAAGTGTTAAAAGCCTTACCTTTCCACACAACAGATATGGAAAGTTTTCAAATGAACATCCTGTTTATGTAGTGGTGGGAATCACCGAATGAAAATAACCGAATCAATCGGTTATTGATGCTGAATAGACTAATTCGGTTATTTTATCCTGGTTCGGTTAAATTAGTCTTACCGAGCGATTCGGTGATTTAGTTATTTAGTTGATTTAGTTTGTCACATCATCAGGAAACTAAAATTTATTCGGCTATTCATTCGACTAAAAATCGCCGATTGACGCTAAAAGACTAAAATGCCATTCAGTTTCCCATAAGATAAAAACTATAGTTAGGCCGCTTAGAAAACGACCTGCGCGCTAATGCTAAACCAATGCTGGAGGAGGTCGCTTTCTAAGCGGCCAAACTATAGTTGTGTTTTGTGACAGTGAATAATGACTAAAATTTATTCGGTGATTCATTCAACTAAAAATAACCGATTGACGCAAAAAATAACTGATTGATTATTCGGTCATGGAAACCATTCGGTTATCCCATCACTATGTATATGGGACACAAGAGTAACATAACCAAACATCCACTTACAAACTCCAAGAGTTTAGGTAACAAAATGACTGACAGCTATATCTGAAATAAACTGTGAACTGAACTGGGGGTCATGCCTAGATTTATTATGTTTGGGTTTCAGTTTACCAGGATTGATTGCGCAGGTCTGATCAATGGCTGAGTGGTCTAAGGCCACGTCTTGGTCAGGTCTGCTGTGCTCCAAATGGAATTCACCTGCCTGTGGCCAAGTTTAGTGGCAGAGGAGCAGAGCCAGCTAGAGGGTGGGGCAGGGGGGTGGACATAGAGCCCCAAGGCTCTGAAGGGGGGCCCAGCCTGGTCAAATGTAATATCTTTTCTGTACATCGTACATGTAATCTGCTAAAGTATAAAAGTAATAGTATATTACGTTACTAGTCCTGAAAATAAGTGTTTACCGGACGAGTGTGGTCGTTCCCGTGCGAGACGAAGTCGAGTACGGGATTACCATACGAGTCCGGTACACACATTTTGGACGAGTTACGTACGATAGTTTCCGCCATACTACTAAATCCGTACAAATCCTTATATATTTTCACCAACTAAAGGAATAAAAATCACTAGTCATAACCTCTAAGAGAGGTTATGTTTTTGTTTATAACCACTCACTGCCACCTAAATACAGTATAATCAGCTGATTGGTGTCCGGCAAAACTCATTGCAGCACAGTAGTACGCAATGAAACCCCATTTGAATAAGCTGGCGGCAAACAGCTGTTTTCTGGACTAAATCCTTGCGTGGGAAGTTCGTCAAAATAATGTAGTGTGGCGTAAAAAATTTAACCATGGTTTTCCAGTTCACTAAGTAATTTTTGACTTGAATAAAGTTACAACTGTGAGCTCAAGAATTAATAAAACTATCAAGCATTGTTATGTTATGTTGTTCTCAAGTTCAACTAGATATGTATTGTTATTATTTGAATAAAAAAACCGCACAGAGGCAGCTGGACGCAAAATCAGGAAAATAGGGTGCCCGGGGAACGTACACTCAGCCCAGGGGCCTGTGACGGATCTCCCTGGCCCTGTACAGGAGGCCCACCTAAATTTAACAATATGGCAGATCGTATGGATTCTAAGTTGCACCTCAAATAAGGTATTTTGCTGCTTTAATAGTTGAACCAATTTGGCCGGGTTTGACCCTATAATAAAACCTTATACCTTTTACCTTTTATGGGTTCTTTCTTATTGAGAATAAAGGATGGATGTTTTAGGATGGTTTGGGTATGGCAAAAAAATTAGACAAAACTCTTGTACTGTACTTCAAAGTATATTTTAACAGTTTATTATCAAGTATAGTATTTTAATACAATTAGATTTACTTACCAATAATTGTTTAAAAGACTGGCTGAAATGTTGAGAACAGTATTTGTTTACGACTAAAAATAATTATAATCCACAATATACAAGTTTAGTAACAGTTTACACATTACCGCTGTTAACATATATATGAAACATAAAAAAAGCAAGGTAAAAAGGTCTTGCATACAAAAGTTCCTTAGATTCTAAAGCTAAAAATTAAAAAAAGCAAGCAGTCTCAAAATATAGTTAATACTTATAGACATTTCATTTTAACACTAACATAGTTAGACTTCCATTAAGAAAATTGTACATTAGGACACATAAATATACCTTCTGTGACAGTCACAATTACACAGTCAAAATACTTCACAGTTGATGAAACTTAACTATGATCATGATTATCATGATGGTGGTTATGATTTGTCCGACACCAAACGCAATCGCACGTGCAGGCTGGCGCACAACGTAGATTGCGTACACAAACGTGTGTGCGAAGCGAGCTAGAGTGTAGAGACGGAAAAACATAAGAGCCACGACCACATCTGGGTCTGACATCACAAAGAGAAGTCCTGTCACCAGGAATATCGGGATGTTTTCCAAGTCATTCAGGTGAGCTCTGGAAGCAGAATAAGTAATTAGTTACCTATACTGAATTAGTCATTCCATATGCATTTATTGAAATAGCACAAATGTCAATTACATTAACACTATGATATTAGACATGACCATCATTACTGGACATCCTATCTATATGGACTACCTGTCTCAAATTGAAGGTATGCACGCACAGATTTGCCATCAAGCATCGGCATATAATTATCTATAGTATCACTCGGTTTATACGTAAACGAAATTTACTCCCCATGTATTTTTTATCTTATATATTAAAAAAACTTGGTTTTTATTTTCCAACTACGTTTGGCTCTTCTACCCGACCGATTTTCATGATTGAGGTCTCAAATTGAAGGTATGCACGCACAGATTAGCCATCAAGCATCAGCATGTATTTATCTATAATCCCACTCGGCTTACACGTAAACGATATTTGCTACCCATGTATTTCTTATGGAAGTTAAATTTGGATTTTTTTTGCCGAGTCCGTTTGGCTCTTCTACCCGACCGATTTTCATGTTTGAGGTCTCCAACTGAAGGTATGCACGTACAGATTTGCCATCAAGCATGGGCATATATTTATCTATAATCCCACTCAGTTTATACGTAAACGAAATTCGCTCCCCATGTATTTCTTATGGGAGTTAAATTTGATTTCTCTTTTCCGAGTTTGTTTGGCTCTTCTACCCGACCGATTTTCATGATTGAGGTCTCAAATTGAAGTTATGCACGCACAGATTTATCAACAAGCATCGGCATATATTTATCTATAATCCCACTCGGCTTACACGTAAACGAAATTTGCTACGACATTTTTTTTTGAGTTCGTTCTGCTCTTCTACCCGACCGATTTTTATGATTGAGGTCTCAAATTGAAGGTAAGTTTAAGAAGTCAAGTACCGTAAGGTTTTTGAAGTCAAGGTAAGGTAAGGTGAGGTCTCACGCCTAGTTTTCTCATAAAGCATCAGCAAATATTTACTTAGGTACTGTATTACTCGACCAAAACACATAATTTGATTTATTTTCTAATTCTTACTTCAATTTAAGATTTACCTACACCAGTTATAATTTTATAATCCTATATATTTTAGTCTATAAGAACCTTCAGTGAAATACTGGCTTTCATCTAAGCTATTGTTTATGCAAATCGTACGCGTTTCAAGCAAACGCAAGGTGAAAAACCAACATAAAAATTATTTTTCATAAGGTTTTTATATGATTAAAAATTAATAGCTCCAGTATTGGTAATGTTTTTCTATATGCTATTTTTTCTCATAAATTTGATTATTTCTCGGATATTATATTTATTTTAACGCTGAAGAGCAGCACGGGTCTTAGACTCAAAATAATCAGTAAATTATAGGCTTTAATTTGAGCTATTGATCGGTTGAATCAGTTAAGCTCAAGATACTGTATTACTCAATCAAAAATCATAAATTTAATTATGTCTCGGATATTATATTTATTTTAAAGCTGCAGAGCAGCATGGGTCCTCTAGTTGTTTATTAAAAATGAACATAGTTGAATGAGCCAGTCACAGATTGTGCTAAATATATTTGATATCTTTTTCTCTTACTGAGATAGTTGATGTGACATACAAGATGCTATATATCTTACAATAAGTCATTGTATTAGTTTTACTAGGTTAAAATACCTTAATACCTCCTGTGACGTCGATGATTATCAAAATTTCTCGATTTGCTGTTTCAAAAACTAAAGATACCATTTATACTATTTACAATGTTATTTGGGCAAGATGGCATTGAGACTATACGGTTCATGAAAAGAATCGTTGACCGAATAAAATGGTCCATTTATAAGCCAGAGGCTTTACAGATTCTTGAAAAATGGACGGTTCACACTCTTGAAACTTTGAGGGAGACCGTTGAGCATCTCCAGAGCCCTAATCTTAGTAATCTGGAAACGGTTTTGTGTTTTGGACAGCTTGCAGTAAAGTACGTAGAGCTGGTCCTTGTTAAGAAGGTTGCGGGTGTGGTGGGATTCTCTTATGTGGGACTAAACAGGATATACTGACTGACAATTGGCTAGCAGTGGTCTCTATATCCCGCTGATGCGATGATCCAAACCGCCTTTTTTTAAGGAGAAAAATATCTTCACAACTTGTAGCGTGTTCCCAAAGAAGGAGTCCATATGGGAGAGGTGGGAATGAAATAAGCCACGGTAAACGGTGATCAGGTAATGATTCCTTAACAGAAGTTTAAGTCCGCGGAGCAGATGGAGGACACTAGAGAGTTTTGTACATGTACAGGCAGTCTCCACATGGCCGTTCTAGGTAATCTTAGGGTATATGAAGAATCCCAGGAACTTCACATCGGTCAAGACGTCAGGATTCATGCAGCTGAGACTAGACACACCCTGAACCGGCAGCTGTGCTGTGATCATTAGTTGTATGACCATATAAACAGTATTTCTTCGTAAAAATGTTTGTTTATGTTTGTGTCTTATGTATGTCTTTAGAAAACCTTTTGAAAACCTCCTAGGAGCGACAACTACACTTCTAAGGCTTAACAAGTACTTCTTAAGAAAGTTGCCATTAAGATGACCAAGGATTATGTTGGCAACATAGCGTTTGACTTAGTACAAGTATAGTATAGTATAGTAATTGATTGTTATGTAATCCAGAAGGCAAAAACATCAAAAATAAAATTGCTGGGAGGTTTTTTGTTTTTGGTTTTGGTTGAGGATTAGCTGAAAAAAAGTCTTGGACAACTCAAAAACTTCAGCTGGCTAGGGCTGGGGAGTAGAACCTATGGCAACAGTTATTGTATTGTCAGCAACTACTAGGATCATCATTAATCAATTAATTCAGACAAAAACCAGAAGTACAGTTGGGACTTCTGGCTTAACATATTGTATTCCAGGTTAGAGCTATATGTTAACATACAAAGCGTAAAGCATAAAAAAATTATTAGTCTCGGGGAGTATATCTGTATGGTTATAGTTTCAAAGAATTACTGAGGCAAAGGTTACTGAGCATGTGAAGGTTTTAAGATTTATACATTATTGAATGACTCTTGAATTCATTATTAAGATACAGGGAGTCCATATCACAATCGATTGAAACTCTTACATGATTCATGTCTAAACTTTATCAATTATTGCTTATAGTGCACATCTGTCTGTCATGCAATGTTTAATTATTACGTGTTCTCATTCTATTGGGTAAGGTTGGTACCCTGGGTTGGTTTTCTGAGAAAAGTGAGTAGCTTTTTAATAGATCAAAACTGGACCTATAGCTGTCCTTGATCATTGAGCTTGTATGGTTCTGGCTAATAAACATCAGGTCTAATCAGTAACAAACTCATATTAGGGTCAAAATACACATCTAGATGGCATCCCCATCTCACTGGTAATAGTCATATAGATTTTCAAATTAGGAGTTATTTTTGCTTCATTCAAGTATGATTGGATTTCAAGTACCAGTACTATTAGCAATTGTTAGAAAGTTTAACTGATGATTACAGCAAAATCCTATCTTAATATAAAGCCTCTGAGTAAAAATAAATTATGTCTGATTGAAAGTTGTGTGCTAACTGAAACAAAAATGTTTCTTTGTCTTTGTAAACAAGTAGATATTCCATCTATAGTATAGACCAGCTATCTTCAATCAAATGTTCTGAACCTTACACATTCATTATCTTTCATTAGGTGAATGATCAGCTCTAAACATTAACAAAATCTCCATAACTGAAGGTAAAAAGCAAAAGTCACCTGTGCCTAGGAAAGGAAAGTAATGCTTTTTGGTGATTCGCTTCACTAGCATTGTTGGAACAGTTCCAGGTGGTAAGTAGGTTGGATTGGGTGGATTAGGTGGCTGAGCAGGTGGCTGGGTAATAGGGATGAGCTGAAACCGATGTTTTTCTAATGTTTGATGTTTTTTGCATCGTCGATGGTAGGTTACCAAAACTTTTGTTTCATCGATGTTTTTGTCGAACATCGATGTATTTGGCCAACCGTGGAGATCTCTATGTTTTTCCATAGCTTAATTGTATTTGTATTCGTTTATTTGATTGTAGCTTGAACAAGAAATTGCATTTTCGTATTTATCTCAAATTAAAAAACAACGCTATCTGGAATAGACTTAGACGAGAGAGAGTGCCAAAAAGCCAATTCATTTATAATGAATTTCAGCAGCAGCACTCCTACCCTTGCAAATACAAACAATATTTCAATTCTTGCAAGTGGACCAGCGACTGCCCATTTAGAACACAATCTCTTTGAATACACATATGTTTGTTTTTATTGATTGATAGTTCACAAGAATTTACTGTATTATTGTCATATACCTTTTGTAAATTACTGTGAAATAGTGCTGTGGGGATAATATTTAAAGAACTTATAGCTAAGTTGTTAGTTAGCTGAGGCTGATGCTGAAAGAAGACAAAAAAATGAAAAGGAAATCAATGCTCATTCGGAGTATACAGACTTCTCTACTAAGCAGCCATTACGCAAGGTTAGAACATTGTTATACAGTGGTGAGATGAGGCAAAATGTATGGGAGAAGGCCATTTTAGGACTTCGGAGGGAATAAAATCATGGGAACTCTATACTGTATATAGTCTAGAGCCATTAAGAAACTTGTGATACAAAAAACTATTCTGACCCGCTTTTAAGATTATAGATTTCAAATAGACACATGCTCTGAATGCAAGATTTCAGATTTCCATGAATTCAACATACCTTCTTACTCTCTCCACATCTGGATCCTCGGTTTTCACTTCTCCCTTAAATGCCGCAGCATCTTCTGGACTAATGAAAGCCTGCAACGATGAATTATTTTGTTAATTTAAAATGCAATATTTTATTTAATTAGGTACTACAGGCATGATAACACATAAAATATAACTGACTAAATACCAGGATATACATAGAGTATTCTCTGTAGTATAGCTCCAATCTTAATAACCCTTTTTGAGCGGTTTTTTTAGTGGGGCCTTGGCTCGGTCCCCACCACAATATGTAGCTTTCGGCATCCAATTTACATTTGTAAAACTGCTAAAACCATCGTAGTGTGGTGAAAAATAACAAAAGGAACAAATTTTGAAAAGAACTTTTTCATAATAAGATATACTTTGCTTGCACTTTGCTGTCATACATTTTGCAAGTATGAAGCCAAGCGCCAATTATATAGGTTTAAATAATGTATAAAATTTTCAGCAATAATTCTTCTAAAAAGTGGTAATCCCTTTTAAAAAATCCGTACACACCACCATTGAGTGAAAATTTAAAAACGTACGTTTTCATGTCCCTGGCCTTTTACTTCGTAGATACTGGATTTGTAGTTTATTATTATGTGTTTTAATATTTTTTGGGACGGGGGCAACATATTACACACATTTATTTGGTTTTAAATAGGTTTTAGGTATTTTTTTCGTATTTTTAAAGTCTCGAAATTCACGACCATGACGTGTCCCTAGGGCACATTTTCCAACTTTCACGCTGTTTTTAGATTAATTATTCATAGCGAAATATATAAAGCCATATTTTTATGTCATCAATGGTTATTAAACTTACAAAAAAGGAGCATATTATAATTTTATTGTCATTGTAGACTGACTACCATGACAAAATAAGTCTGTCCCTCGATTTGGCATCACGACCATTTGGGAAAAATTTTCAACTTTGGAGCACGACAGTGGCAAGCCTGGCGTCGATGGAGTCAGTTGGTTTTAGAGACTAGTTTGGGGTGTACGTCAGGATTGTAGTGCCGGTCTTTTTGAGTTGAAAGGAGGAGTTGCAAGATTAATAAAGGAAAGATTGTGTTTTTTGTAATTTTGGTGTGTCCATGACCGTACGTAGTCATTCGATGAAGTAGACATGGTGTTAATTTTTGTTTATAAGATATTTCAATTGCTAGATTAACCTAGAAGTCCACTTTGTATCCTCGAACATGAGGTGCAGGGCTACCGCCAGAACAGAGCCAAATAACACGCAATTTCACGACCAAAGTTTTACGACCATCGCGGTTTTTTCACGACCAATCCAGCCTTATGGATTATATTATAGTGTGTTTGGTCGTGACAATAACTTTAATATAATTGTAAATTGGACAGTTTATTTCAATTGAAACACATAGTTTTATTATAACTAACAGGATAATTGAAGGATTGTTTAAAAAGATTTAGATTATTCCAGACAATTCACGACCGTACCGCTTGTCCCTGACCATCACGTTTATGATTTCTATCATACAAATTTCAAAAATTAAAATATCGTCATATTTCAATGTTTTATACACAAAAGAAGCACACCTCTATACAAACATAACGATTTTTTGGGTCTCAGGTAAGTTTTTTCGGAGTTATACAAACTTAAAAAGATTTTTTTGGCTTTTTTTCAATTTTTTGAGTTTTTTATTTTTTTCTAGAAAGACCAAATATACCAAAAGCTCAGTGACCTTTTTATTGTCTAATGGTCATAAAAGTAAATTAGTTTATAGCAAAACATAGTTATAAAAATAATATTAACTATTTTTAATATTCATTTAAACCTCCGTTATGGTCGTGACAGGATTTTGTGTTTTTCTACTAAAGATGCTCTTTAAAAAGAAAACTACCAAAGATATTGCATTACCATGGACATTTTATGAAACTTCAAATGTTAATGAAATAAAAAATAATAAAAGTTTTGAAAAAGGGGGAAAAAAGTGCTTTTCCTGAAAACGTACGTTTTTAAATTTTCACTCCATTACTGATCAGAAGTATAATATATGTCAGATATAGATTAGTCAACGATAATATTATTGAAACAAAAGGAATAGCTGATACAAGCAACTAATGCTGGGAGCGAGCTGTAATGCTGGACATCGAGGTCCTGGGTTTAAATCCGGCAGAGGATACGCGTCCGGTAACCGGACGTGGATTAGACGTCCGGCAATTACTGTCATAACCTAACCTAACCAACCAAACTTGCTGATAGTGAAAAAATCGAATTAAGGTGAAATTCTTTCTCTATAAAAAAAATTATTAATGCCAAAAATTCTAATAAAAGATGTACAGTTAAGAATAAATGGTATTCAATGCAAAACTCTTCGACAAAAAGTTAAAGTCATCAATGGGATTCGAACCCTGGACCTCTTGCATATCAGCCGAGCACCTTATCCACTACACCACGAACACCGATGGCTGGTCATTGTATTGTTGTGGTAAAGGCGTTCCAGGCTCCCGCAACCCCATGACGTCATTGCCGTACGCCTTATCCACGTCCGGTTACCGGACGCGTATCCTCTATGTTAAATCCCACCAATCACCAATTTATTTTATTTCGTGATAGGTAATACGGTGATCCGCTCTAGGCCTACCTTGGTTCGGGGCTAGAACCCAAAAAATTTATAAAGGACCACAGTGCAAAAAAATCTTTAATAAATTAATCGGAAGATGAACTTGAAACGGAGAATGCTGGAGATGGAAGCGGCAATTGATGGGACGCCAAGGAATGTTAGTAATTACATAAAGACCGGTCTGGTCTAGGCCGCTAGTTCAAGGCCAAACAAGTTACTTCCTGTTGATTACTGGGACGGTACGGCGTTAAAAACAAGTGAGGATTACCTAGGTGCTCTATCTGTAAACAATAATAATTGGTCAAAAGTTAAACCGCATAATGAGCCAGCCTAATAACATTCATTACAAAAATAACAACTTTGTATTTTTTGAGATTTTAGTAGGCCTACATTTTTTTAAAGGGGTTGGTGACCTCTTTTAAACTTGCATTTGTCCGTCTACATGGGCCAAAGCTCTCTGCGTTTAGATCTTATAATTTGTAAGTCGGAGAGAATTACACAACTCAACGTTAGCGCGATAACCACCGGTACCTGTACCCCATGTACTATGTATGTAATGTATGTAATGTATGTAATGTATGTAATGTATGTAATGTATGTAATGTATGTAATGTATGTAATGTATGTAATGTATGTAATGTATGTAATGTATGTAATGTATGTAATGTATGTAATGTATGTAATGTATGTATGAAATGAAATGAAATTAAAAAAGTGCTTTATTGTACAAATTACATAATAGTCTACCTCCATATGTACAACATATACAACACTAACGTGAAAATAAAATAAAACACATACTGCTATAATAAAAAAAAACCTAACACTTACTAAACAATGGTTAATGTTGACCGTTTGTTTGGTTGGCAACATAAACCTTCTCCTTAACAAAAAACAATTCCAACTGTACAGTAATATGAAAGAACAAAAAGAAATCATTTACACTTCATTTACAAAAACATTTTTTTATAAGGAAAAAAACAATTAAGTACAGTAACGTCTAACTATACCGCAGAGAGTCCTATTAAAAATTAAATTCTTGGATTAAATTCCATCTATAATACCAAGCCTCCCTTAAAAACTTACAGAAAAAACTCCAATCTTCCCCATTTAAATATGAAATAAACTCAGCTTGAGCAAAAAAAATGTCTACCTAACCATTTAAATCTAATGTTTTTTTAAAATTGGACATTCTGAAACAAAATGAAATACTGTTTCATCTTTATTTGAATTATGAGGGAGCAAAGCCCACTACCATCGTTCCATGGTTTATAATTCAAATGAATCAGCTGAGCTCTAGCCCTAAGCCACGACAAAAGTCCAAAGTCAGCCATATCAGTCAGCAATGTCCTGCTGCCGCGGACAAGGTCAAGGAGTAAGTACGATAACGCGCTGTCATCGCTTGCCCTACACAAAGACCTCGCCATCGCTCTCTCTCGCACTCGACCACTGACGTAAGCTGCGCCCATCGATGTGTATGGGGAGGAAGGAGTATCGTTTACGTAAGTTACCCTTTTATGTTTACATATTTAATAGTGGAGAATTTAAACGTTGTTGACTGCACAGGTGTGCTGCGATTGGGGCTTAATAGTATCCAATAGTCAATGATGTTATTACTTATCCTAAAGTAAAATAGTTTTCTGTGCTGAATTCTGTGGAAACAGTGTGGCATTATTTAAATTCATATCACTAATACAGAATGTTGTGATTATTCAAACCTACAAACCAGTTGGGGAAAGTAAGCATCTACTTTTAAATGATATTTTATTTGTAAACATTGTAGCTCCAAACATCTGACATTGGACCCCATAAAACCCTCTGGGGAAGAGCCCTTTAGACGGATCTGTACCAAACTTCACAAAAACCATCCTTGAATAATGCTTAACAATGCCTGAAAGTTTCATTACAACCTGTCGAGTGGTTTCGGAGGCCATAAGGTACATACATATATACATAGTTCCTCATATACACTATGTTACTAGAATTTAATGGTATATTAAGTTACTAAAGTTTACCAGACGAGTGATACGTACGATATTTGATGCCATACTACCCTAAGCTAACTAACAATAGAAAATCTGTATAAATCCTTTTATTCCAACCGAATAAAGGACTATAACAATCACAACTCATAACCTCTCGATACGAGTAGGTACGGTTATGAGTAGGTTGAGAGGTTTTTGTTTATAACCACTCATGGCCAAATATAATCAGCTGGTTAGTGTCCGGTAAAAACTCATTACAGAACAGTAATACGTAATGAAACCCCATATGATTGCTGGCGGCAAACAGCTGTTTTCTGGACTAAATCCTTGCATGGGAATCTCGTAAAACAGTGTAGTGTGGCGTGAAAATTAAACTGTTCAAAACATACGATAGCTACTTATGAAAATGTGTTCAAACTCAGTCCAAAGAAGCAGGCAAAACTCATACAAATAAGTGAGAAACGTCTCGTCAGGAAAGCAGCGGTCGCGAGGTTAA